GCAGGACAACACGAGATCGGGACACGCGCCCCACAAACACAAACACAAACAAAGCGGCAGGAAAACAACGGTACTGCGACAGACAGAGACCGAGAGCGAGAGAGAGAGAGAGAGGGAGAGAGAGCTGGCTGGAAGGAGGGGTGGAAATGTGCCAAGCGTGTGAGTGATTTATGGCGCTGCGAGTGACGAGGACGAACCAGAATTCTTCAGGATAATGCCGACATAACGAGATTGTTTTATGTACACATTTTCTCCTTGTTTGCGCCGTCGTTTCGTTGTCGTTTGTTGGCTTTCGGATCCGGATTTCCAAGAGTGTTGCGGGGGATGGGGATGGGGATGGGGGCTTGTAGGTGGAGTCGGAGTCGGATCTGGATCCTTTATATGTACACATAATGACACTTTTCGCTGACTATTCCCATTCGGTTGTCGCTGTTCTTGGTGTTGTTGTTGGTGTTGCGCACTGGAAATGGGGGCGAGATAATGTGCCTGTGTCTGTGCTTGTATGTGTGTGTGCGCCTTATCTGTGTACATAACCTCGCCGCGTCTGTGTGTGCGCACTTATACCCAAAGGACCTTCAATCACATCCGTAATCCTCGCTCAGCGCGTTAATGAGCTCCACATTAATTTGTCACCCACAAGGGCTCACCTGATATTATGTTTATGCCCCCGAAACAGGCAAATCGAATGAAGGTTTTCCGAGAGCTCGAAACATACCTAGATATCGAAATAATCTAATTAAAGGCATTTCTTATTGTTGCTATTTTTTATTAATGGCTTTAAGAAAGAATATATAAAAAAGGAATTACAATATTTTACGAGTTGCATGGATGTTCTGTTCATAACCTAAAGATCGAGGCGCTGTGGCAAATACTTGCAAAATTCCATTTTGTAAAAAAAAATTAATAAAATCTTTAATATCACCATTTTAAATCTCCGCTATATCATGATAATTCCTTGATTGTTTACTTTAAAAAGAAAATCATGAAAGATTAATAAATGTTTCCGGTTGAAAATTATAATCCCCTAATGTATCGGCACTGTATCAATTTAAAAGTTAAAAAGCCATTTGTTTTTAAGCCTTGAAACCTTTAAATAATATTTAAATATACTACGTAAAGCGAGTTAGAAAGCTAAAGTCCAGTGTGACCGAATTTTAAAAATATTTGATCCATCCATCTCAAGCAACTCATATTTAAAAACTAACAGAACTATTTAAAAACAGCTTAAAACTTTATAATATATATTAAAATTTATGCTTATTCTCATCTAAACTATTGATATATGGAAACAAACTAAAACCTACCAAATTATATATCTAACTAAAGGCATTAAATTAGCATTAATAAATTATATACTTAACCCAGTATCTCTTGTCAACCCATAGCAATTATTAAAACGAAAATTAAGCAAAACTGAACACAGCATAAATAAGTATGAATGGTTAAGTGTACAATTTACGACTTTTGTTCAGCTTACTGGCGCAATTATATATTTATATGTAGTATATGGTAACAAGCCCAAGATGCATGATTCATTCCATTCATGGCTTTCTTGGTCTGTGTCCCTTTTGTCCTATGTGATATATTCTTCATAATTTCTAATTTCCGACTAAAAATAATTCTAAACATTAAGTAGAAATTATATGAAAAACTTTTTCGGTCTGGCGTCTTGTTTTTGTAAATTTACAACTATACTGAGCAGCCGAGGCACTGGGAACGACCAAGGCTGGAAAGCGGGAATCCCCTTACCAACCATCCCCACGACCCACGACCGTCGATACAAACAAATTCTCATTAAAGGCGAAGGCTGTAGTTGAAACCGAGCTGAGAACTGAGAGCTAACCCAAAAATTGTACACTTTTAGAAATCAGAGTTGGAAATTTCTATAAAATGTCAGGAGAGAGGAAACCTAAGTTCTGGGATCCAAAGCTTAGAATACCTTTTGAAAATTGTCACATTATTACCAAGGATACCATTGGAATAAACTTTTGTAATCGTATATAATAAAGTATAACTCTATATTATTAATTTATTAATCAAAAATATATATATTTTCATAATTATAATATAAACAATAACGAAACCGTTCTAGTTTTCATAACTTGTTAAAATGGTTCCTGTGAGGGTAAACGATTACTAAATAGAGGATAATGGTGTGAAATGTTAATTGATTGTTGTAAATTCCAAAGATCAAATTGTCTTACATTTAAAATAAGTTGTGATGTACTTTTTAAAGCTGTACATATTATGTGTGTTTGTTGTCTACTATAGACAATATCTACAAACATATGTAGATAGTTTCACTCTTATAAGGATCGGAGGGGAAAACTCTATTGGTCTTTTGGTAAAACTTATTACTTATTATAATTTTTTGCAAGTTTTAACATGTAAGTAAAATAATTTAAGATTTTAGAGCACTTTCATTTAACTTAGTATCACACAAACGATTGTCTTAACATTATTTTCATATCGAATTAAGGTAAAACATAAATTCCAAAAGCTCAATTACAAAGCCTTAATGCCAAAAGACATACCCACTTATGAAATACTATGGAATATTTTTCCCAGTGTAGACGTACCAAAATTTTAAGCATGTAAATGAGTCGAGCTTGGGTTATCAGAGGAAAAATGGAAGTGGGTGGGATGGCAGTTGTTAGCCAGGGGGTGGTGGTGTACAAAATATGATTTTGACAGAAAACAACAAAACAAAATCCATAATTCAGGATAAAACATAATTCCACACAGCACACAGAGCGATAGAAGTGGGAGGAGCAAGGGAGATGGAAAGGGAGAGTAAGAGCAAGAGCATGAGCGAGAGGGAGAAACATCCCACACAGATGCACAAGGAAGCAGAACGGTCTGGATGGAAAGCGGCGAAAAAAGAACAACAACAACAACAACATTATGAATTACGGTAAAATGGCGGGAAAAGGCAAATGAGCCTCGCAAAGGGGCGGCGGGAGCACTGTTGTAGTGGGGTGAGTGAGAAGCAGTTACAGTTATTTATTAAATCCCTTTACGCATTTTCATAACAAATTCACAAAATATTTCAAATGCGATGGCGACGTTGCTCGGGTGTTTGTTTTTTCTTCATTCTTTTTCCTCTTTTTTTTTTGTTGCGGGGTCCTTTTTTCCCTTTTGGTAGCCGCGTCCGCCTTGCATCGTGTGATTCATGTCACTGCCTGGGTGTTTTGTGTCATTAAACTTTTATGCAAGATAGCAAACATACAAACATACAGCTGAATTTTATACAGTAAACAGCGAACAGCACTCATCATAAACAGGACAAACGAGCGTAAATTTAATCCCTTTTGGCACAAAGAAATCATATTTTTTCTCGTTCTCAGCGGAAAACTAGAGGGAACTGTACCGACCAAGGAGTATCCATGCCTCCAATCATTGCCTACTTTCGGGGGACACTAAATCATTAATTCAAGAAGGGAAAACATATTCTAAATGATGTACATATATATATTTATTAAAATATATTTTATTTATTCTTTTTTTTATATACAGTATACAGATTAGGATCAATCGATCCGAATTAAATATGTTTTTTAACATAAAGGACCTTTTATGATTTCACGATTCAACCCAATTTAACACCCAGTGTAGGGTATTTGCGAGACGAAATGCGTTGAAGGTGGAGAGGGAAAATGAAAATGGCAGCACGAAAAATAATTCTAATCTCCTCATGAATATTCCTTTTGCATTTTCATTTTGGAAAGAGCGCTTGGTAAGAGCGTAAACCGTCAACAAAAGGACAACGCCAGAGCATAGTTTGGGGTTTTTGGGGCCCGGTGCGTAAGCTAAAGAAATACGACGGCGCCCGATGGGTATCCTGAAGCGGAGGGTTCGGGGAAATCAGGGTGAAGCAGTTGGCTAAATGTACAATGGGGAAAAAGTGTGTATATATAGCCCAGGCAGCCGTTTGTTATTTTATTTTATTCAAGCTCGCGCTACAGCGACACTGCACTTGAAAAAAACAACATGTACTTGTCTTTGCTTGAGCGACCATCGTCGGCTTGACTTATTAAAACTTAAATATTATATATGCCGGAACACATAATGATCTTATCTAAAGTCAAGGAAGCTTACCCCTCGGATTGTATTAGAATTCCCAACTAGGTATTTATTTCATTTAATCTCTTCTCTAACTCTATGTTTTATCATATTGTCGAGATGTACAAAATATGGTTTCTGCCATAGCTTTTTTTGGAAATAATATGAAAAAGAAATCACACTAAGAGTCTTCTACTTAATTGTTAAAAAGAACAGCGAAAACTACTGTGTATATAAAGTTTGACATTAAAAATAAAAGATCGTTGGAGTATTATCATTTCCCCTTAAACCATCCAATTTTAAAAATATGTATATAAATTGTAATTAATTCCTAATGAAACCGATTATCCTCAGTGTAGTCGAATTTTATCGCCCTTTTCTCTACTACTCGACTCCCTTATATACATTCCATTCCATTGCCGGGTCCGGCATTTCACTGATGGGCAGTCGTCGTTCAAGTGCCGCAGTTGCCGGCCTCGTCGTCATCCTCGCTTTGGGTCTGCCATCGAAATTATAAACTTGGCTGCTAAAGAAGGTTAAGTGATAAATTAACGCCACTGGCCCCGTGCCTCTTTGGCCCCTCGTGTTTCATTCTGGCCAGGACTGGAGCTCTAAGCGCGGATGGGAATGCTTTATGCACGAGTGGACCTTTTAGTTTATTGTTATTTTCAAAAGGAACCCCCAGCTAAAAAAGGAGCTCAGCTTGAATCGAATAATTACGAAAAGTGGCCCAGAAATTAATCAGGGGTGGGGGAAGAGCAAGCTGTTCTTAGTAATATCTGTGCCTACTGTACTTGAAGGACATAGCAACATATTTTGTATAGAAATAGAAACACGATATTACCTAAACCCAATAATGATAGAGTATAAATTAGTAAATACCCCAAATAAATCCATCAAGTCACTATGGTTTCAGGCAAATGACATAAGGCCTTGACTCAACTGCTCAGCAAACATATATTTTAACTAAAATGTGATAAGCCTTTTGATTGGACATTTTAGGTCCGATTCCTTCACATACATGTCTTCCTTTCAAATCCGTCACGATGTCCGGTTCGAGAACCCACTTCGTCAGCGAACTGACAGAAAAAAATGCGAGTTAAATATGCGGTGCCTTTTCCTTTCTGCCTTCGCACTTTTCACCGCAGGATACTACTTCATGGATGTGCTTGTCGACTTCAGGACCAACGAGGAACAGCAAGTCGTGAAGAGCTCCTCCTTGGTGGATAAGAAGGAATGTCGACTCTTGACCCTTACTTCGGACGACCGCAAGTGGATGTCCCTGTGGGGCTACATCCGGGAAGATTTGTGTGGCAGCCATATGCATCTCACGTCCTTCAGCACGGATGACGACAATTATCTGAAGAGGCAGATAGTCCCGGATTTCCTCATCTCGATCTTTTGGTCCGAGAGCTTGCGGAGCTTCGAGTGCAAGTACCATGTCGTAGAGCGGCAATCCGACTACCACAATCGGCCTCTGTACACCCGGAAGTTTAACCTGATGAGGGAATATATTACGGTTGAACCGACTGCGGATATCATCCGGGCCGAGTGCTACTTCAATGGGACTAACATCTACAACGGAGTTCACTTCTATCTCCGTCCGCAAGATATAAAGCTACGGAACTCCCTGGGTCTGCCCCCCCTGAGGTCAGTCTCTGATTCTCATAGTTTGTCGGTGTTGATTGTGGGCTTGGACTCCATGTCCCAGCCGCACTTTGCACGGACTATGGCCCAGACCGCCAACTTTCTCTTCTCGCTGCCCCACGTCGAACTGAAGGGCTTCCATCGATTGGGAAGCACCTTCGAGAGTCTGATGCCACTCCTGAGCGGTTTGAGTGGTTCCGAGATGGCAAAATTCGTATCAACTCTTGAGAAGCTGGACAATTGCCCCTTTATTTGGAAGGAGTTTCGAAAAGCCGGCTATGAAACGGCACTGGGTGAGGATAACATAGACAAGTCAGTGTTTCCTGGGCAGGGATTTGAGGAGCCACCCACGGACCACTACCTTCGGCCGGCACTTATTGAGATGTGGCTAAAGACGAGACGTGACCGAGGCAAAGGCATTCACTGCAACTCAAAGGACAGCTACGCCATGGTCCTCAGGGATTTCTTCTACAAAATAATTCCCCACCATCGGCGACATCGTTTCTTCACCTTTCTGCGGTGGACGCAGGGTATCGATCATCTCTTTAACTATGGCCGGACGTTGGACACCATGTTCTTGGAGATGTTTCGGCATGCAGCCCGCAGTGGCCTACTGAAGAATACGCTCCTTTTGGTGGTGTCCAATCACGGGCTCAATAGTGGATATTTCTACGAGACGGTGCAGGGCAAGGTGGAGGGGAATCTGCCGCTGGCCCTGCTCTGCTACCCAAAATGGATGGAGGAGAGCTTTCCCCGAGCCATTGCCAACCTAAGGCAGAATAGTCACCGCCTGGTCACTTCATACGATCTTCACGCGACGCTCCTGGACTTGCCCAGGTTGACCTCTATCGAGGATAGGAGTATCGAGCAGCGCAGCTTCGGTCTTGCTGCCCAGGATCTACCTCGGGGAATAAGCCTGTTCCTGCCAGTGCCAAGCACCAGGGACTGCAGCTCAGCCCACGTACCCTCGAAGTATTGTCTGTGTCAGGAGCAGGCAAAAGTGTCCCCAACGGAAGGGTATGTTTTACGGGCCGCTCTCCTGGTTGTCCGAACCATTAATAGGGCTCTGCAGAAGCATATTCCACCATGTCACAAGTTGGAACTGAAACTAGTGTTGGCCGTCGATGAATGGAGCCCACCGGCGGAAAAGAACTACGCGGAGCTCTTGGTTAGGCTGGTAACCACTCCTGGCGACGGCGAGTTTGAAGGTGTCGTTACGTACACGGGTCATGAACTTGCACTCAACGGACCCATTCTGCGCAAAAATGAGGTCGGAAATGACACGTACTGCATAGATAATTATCTGATTAATATGTATTGTTTTTGTCAAAGGTCCTTAGAACCGTAATGTAGCTAAGCTTTAAGCTAAACAAAATCACCAAGCCCAAGGTATTCTATGGTCGAGGCCTTAGCCCTCGTCTTGTCTGCTTTTGTTTTTTATATTTGTCAGCTGCTGTTGTCAATCTAACATAAATCACACGTCATGTGCAGGACCACACGCCTTGAATGTTTTGCGATATTGGACAGGGGGTGAGGTCCATAAATCAGTCAGGGAAACGCATTATAAAGAAACTATAAATACTGCTGTGATTGACGCCGCTTAAACATAAAAGTGGAATTAAAAAGACGTAAAAACTTCTACCGCATTTATGAAGAGTCAGCAGCAAAACACACCCGCCCTCGTGGGCTGGCACTGGCGCTGGCGAGGTCCTGCTTTAAATGTCATACATACTTTATCTGAGGAGGAGCGGGGTGTGACTGCCATCATAAAAAGCATAATTACGGGCATTTGTGCTAATGTGATTTTCTGGCCGCAGGCCTTGGCGCTGGCAAAACATTTCTTATCACGGCGGCAGGATGTGATGTGAGCGGGGAAGTGGAAGTCGGGCGAAGGAATAATGCAGGCAGGCCGGAGTTAGACTGCTAGGCAGGCGCAGGCTGAGCTCGCGCATAAATCACTCATGATGAGGCGTAATTAATGCGACTATATGGCGACCTAAATTTTCTATAAATCATCAGATTAAACCCAACGCCAAGCACTCGTCGTTTCGCCAAGGAACATATGATGTGGAATCGTGCGACTAAACAGGATACGCTAGTGGGACTGGGAATAGATTACCACAAATCTATTGGCAGCTCGACTGAAGAAACGATGTCTATTAAACAATATGGCGGTCTTACACTGCAGTTCACTGGAAACCTTGGATTTTTAAAAATTTTAATCTATTAAGAACTAAAAGGAGACAATCATAATCCCTTTTAAAATGCTTATTGGTCTATATATAAAACTTAATAATTAAAAATATTCGAAGATCACTATAGAACTAACTAGCAAAATCTTTATTTTCAATGATTATATTTGTTGGGGCTTTAATATAGCCAGAAATTTCCATCTCCCGAATCCTGTCATCCTGAAATCTGTTGCCATTGATGAAAATAATGCCTTCTAAAAATAGTCCATCAGGAATAAATGTTCTAAAGTTACCCTTTTCCGTTTAATGATTAGATATATCATTGAATAAATATTACTATATAACTATTATAATTAAATAAATTATATATTAGTTATTAAAATACATAAGAAAAGCTTTATTTATATTTTATAAATACAAAAAAAAAACCTTCAGTTGTTTGTTAACAAAAACCGTTTTGTAAAAACCTATCACAACTCTGGTTTCCTAATTCACAGACTAACTTTAATGTTAAAGAAGATTTGTCCAACAGGAACATTTTGAATCATTTCATTCCAATCCAATGTAATACAAATATATTTTTCCAATTGAAATATAACTTACATTAGTTCTACGTACAAATGCACACAGCAATCTGACATTGTGCTTTTGCTGATGAAAAAGGGTTTTTATATTTTATATATGTAACTTTCAGTTATAATATTTTCATACTCATCCAAAGGTAGAAACAAATTTACCATAGGAAACATTTGCGAACTCTTACTCCTACTAATATTATTCATTGCCTTGTTTAGTTTTCTTTGCAATAATGTCTGCCAAATCAACTTAATAATCTTAATAATGGCATAGAGCTCATAAAAGCGGAAATGCTTTCCATCCGCTGTTCAAAGAGTCGTTAGAGTCGTAAATTCGGTAAACGCGCTTAAGTGATTTTCACACTAAAAGCCAACGGGTCACTTCGAGTCGAGTTGACTATTTCAAATGGTTTCTTCTTGCTGGCATTTGGAACATAAAATTAAATTTTATGTACATATAACGCTTACGGGGTCGGCGGAACACAACTCGGCAATTAAATAGCCATAAAAGTCACTTTGATTTGATCCTTTGTGGTTTGCCCAGCGTTGTTTGGCTTGGTTTTTCCCGCTGGCCAACTTTAATGGCCATCATCATTGACAATTTTTTGACAACTGACAAGAGCGGGTCAGCGTCAATATTGTCACGCCCATTTTGCGGGTCTCCTGGGCACCTGGTCTGGGGTTTTGCTGCTTAACCTTGTTTACTGTCAAATAATGACAGCCTCGTAAAACCCCTAATTTTACGAGCATCTTAAACCAGGTCGTAAAGTCTTAGACATGTGAGAGGAGCTCAGCGGCCCAGCCGTCTTTTTATTTAATTATATATATATTTTTTGGCTGGTTTTGCCGCCAACTGTGTTCTTAATCATTTGTCTTTACTTAGATTAAATCCACTCGGACGACGCCCACTCGATGGCTTGTGAGAATGCAAATGCCTAGCACTAATAAAAATTTATGGCACTCGACCATTTAGCGTCTCGGAACCCCTCAAAAACAAGTCATCGTATATAGGCTCTGGAGGAAGTGCGGGGAGTGGCGATCCCACGCGTCAAAAACAAAGGGAAACGGAAGCACCTCGACCATTTGACGAAGTCACCCAAAGTCACGAGAGTCGGTCGATGCATTAATGGGAGCCACTTAACTGGGATTTATCACCTCCGCCCACAGAACTGTATGGAGTCATAAAGACCGCCAGAGCATAAGGATGCAGGCCGAAGAAGCCGGACTTGTTGCTCTTGACTTGGACTGAGCCTGTCCTCTGCCATTCTGCACAAATGCTAATTGATGGATATATTGATGGGCTCTGAAGGTTTTATCTGTTTCAAATTGAACGCGAGCGCTGCGGCAAAGGGATTATTTTGTGATCACACCACCATAAAGATGCTTAACAATATGATTGCATTGGAAAATATGAAGATCTAAACTATCTCAACAACTTAAATTTATAAGACGCATTTCTTAATGTATGCTCAGCTTAACATGCTTAATTGATATTGATTTTCATCTGTAATAGGAAATCTTCAAAAATATTCATTTGTAAATATATTCTTTTTAAGCGGTATGCTAAATATTTTTATGATACCCGCAGTAGTAGGACATTCCCCGATACCCTTTTCAATTTTTTGCAAATAGGCGCATAAAGTAATATAAGAAAAAATGTAGTACTTCGTTATAAACCCCTAAATGTACGCATTTACCCAGATTGGACCTTTTAGTTTAATTGATATTTTTAATGTTCATACGGTATAGCGTTACTTAACTAATTCCTAAATAATTCTAATTGAAATTAGATATTACACCTCTCCAAAGATCGTATGCGTTGCATGGCGCTTATTTATATCTGAAGATGAATATGGTCGCGTCTGGCCTTATTTCCTTATGATTTTTGCAGTATACTTAGGATCTACATTTTATTGAAAAGTTGATTTCCGTTCCGAAAAGCCACATTTGTCCACAAAATGTTTAATACATACAAGAGTCCAATGTGCCACTATGTAAAGCTATTTTAAATACTTCCTTCAAGATGTCAAAGAGTAGAGCGATTTTTGTACTGAATGCGAATAAGAATCATTTTGTTTTTTCTTGTTCTTTTAATGAGGAAAAATTCTTTTGTTTCTATAAGAACTATAAAAGATTTATACAACACTAATAGCATCAAAAATTATAGTTTAACTAGTAAAAACAGCAGAGGTAATGACCGACCATGTCTATTTGATAGCGACAAGTAATCAAATTTAACTATCACAATATTAAATATATTTTGTTAAAACGCAATGAAAAACGTTGTGTTTTATAAACCAACGACCAACTTGAGATATGTTTATTTCTTTTCAATCAGACATGCAAAATATTTCAATTGAATGAGTTTCCTGTCCGTCTCTTGAATCTCCACCGGATGAGGCACTCTGCCAGATTAAGGACTAGAATGGCAACAACAACAAATTCCAAATCATATTTACGGTCCCATAATATTGCCAGGGCGAGGGAGGTAGACAGAGGAGAGGCAAAAGCAATCAGAACACTAAATCTGATGTACGCCGCTAATTGCGCATAGATTACAAGATGCATGAGCGATAGTACAGAGGCGAGGCCGCCCAATTCCCATCTTGAATGGGGTGCAGGAGGAAGGCACATGGCCAGGAAACGAGGCATCTTCTCCTGGATGCAAACAGGCGACAGCTAGCTCACTGCGAGGCTGCGACACAGACAACTCTATTTGAATCCCGGCAACTACGAGGGAGCAGGAGGAGACTCTTGGGACTTGCCGTTGCTTATTTATTTCGAATTGACCCATTTGGTAATATTCATAACTTAGGAGCGCACGAAGGCCGCCGCCTGTTCGAACTGTTCGAACTGTTCGTACTGTTCGAATGACTCGGCCAGCGGTGGTTGTTGCATTAAAAAAGACCCATAAATTCTCGCTCCGCGCAGATCAGTTTTTTAGTGTGGTGCGCCATTTGAGTTTATTTGCGACGGGCGCGCTGTCATAAGTTGCCGCCAAATTGTTGCATTGTACCTGCTGCGAGATGCTGGGAAATCAGAGTTAAAGATCCCACTCGGCTAGCTAGTAACTCAGATATCATTAAAAAAAGTGCGAGATACTTTATGAATTCGTCGTGGGCCGAGATGCGGTTTCCACGGATCGAGCACGGATCGGGCGACGTCGACGGGCGATTGGCGTGAAATATGCCCATTAAAATGTACGATCATCGCCTTGAATGCAAACCACTTGGCCACCACCGATCCCGATCCCGATCCCGATCCCCATCCTCCTCGGACGATGAGCTGTGGAACTGTGTTGAGCTGACCGCTGAATTATTGTTAACGATTTGCAGTTAATTTCTAGGCAAAGAGATTTCGGTTCGATTTCATGGTCGGCCTTTTATACTGCTGAATGCTAATGGCTCCATTCGTCCATCAAAAGTGGGGTGTCCTTGATATTGGATTCATATTCAAAATATTTAAGGATATAGTGACTTAATTCAAATATAGGTACTCGTATTATCCAGTTTTTTTGTCTCGAAGAGGCAGCCATTACTTGGCCGCTCCTTTCATTTTGAAAACATCTTTTGAGTGAGTTTTTATTAGGCCCAATAAGAGCCTTCGACCGAAACAAAGAACTAATTACACTAATTATCGGATTAATGAAATCGATTAGCATATTCCCGTTTACGATGCACAATAATTTACAATATCGAATTTATTATTATTGGCATCTCTTGATTTCTCCTCGTCAGCTGCCAGGCATTTTTAATTTCCAATCGAATTCCTTCCCCCTCGCTGTTCTACAGCAGATGGACCTGGACCTGGGGATCCCTGATCAGAGATCGGGAATGACCAGGGCCTACCTGTTGAGTGGTATCCGCCCGATTGGCCTGCCGGTCATCAGGTTTATGTGGCATATAATTTTTTATTTGGTCCGCTCATAAGAGAGGAGTCGTAAAATTTTTTGATGACGTTTGTCAAGATGCCAGGAAGGCAGGAAGGCATGGCAATGAAATTTCTGCAGTTTTTAACATTAAATCGATATATTTATGACACTTTATTTAAGCTCCGTCAGATGAGGTATTTTAAGGGGCTTGACCTGTTTACTTTGATCTTGGTGGATTCGATATCGAGGTGGAGACATGCCATATTACCATATTACCTGATCATTAGCTTTTCTAATGTTAAAGATGTTAAACTAATATAAAGATTGTACATATTTACTTGTATTCTGTAGGTTTTTTACTTATGTTTTCGCGGAGACTTTTAGTTTTTTATATCATAAACTGTATATCATATGGAAACCCCTTGGCTTGCTCTGCAGTGTCTATTTGCTGTTCTAACTGACGTCGATGGGCTGAGTACGGGATAGACAAACAAACCCATATACCCACTCCCACACCCTATAGCTCCCTTTTCCCCTGAAAGTGTGTGCGTTATTTCGCGCTTGTGGTACTAAATTGGGTGATAACTCCTTTTTAATGGATGCGCTTTTGCCTGGCTCTCTTCTTGCTGCGCTGGTGTTCTAAGTTTTATTTTTATTTGTCTCGCTAAAACTCAATTTTCGAATCAAACAACCACGAGGATTTCTCGTCGCCGCTTTGCTCCATCCTCCTCCCAGCATCCCAGACCTCCTCGATTCCTCGATTGTGTTGTACAGTGTTTGCTGATGATGCCCTCCAATAACAACAACAATATCAGTAACAACAGCGGCTATATCAACAACAACAACAACAACATTGGCAGCAACAACGTTGTCATGTTATTTGTTGTTACGCTATTGCCACCATTGCTTTTATTGTTGTTGATGACGCAGGCCCTGACGATGACTCTGGTCCGGATTTCCCTGGATTGGCATTGGAATCGGGATTGGGTTTGGGTTTGGGTTTGGGTTAGGGCTGGATCTAGGTCTGGGCGGGGGATTGTTTCGTCGCCATCGTTCGTTGTCACAAATGCAAATAATGGGACAATTGTGCTGTGCAGCTTTTTAACTGCTTTTATTATTTAATTCCTCAATAGAGAAATAATGGAAATTAACTTGCACACATACGACTATTACGACTATTATCGGGAGACATACATTTCATCGGTATATTTAACATACATATATGTATATATATATATATATATATATGACATTGCATAAGTCGGGGAACATCAAACTTATTTCTAACATTTTCAATCGAGCACAAGTATGAACTCATTAAATATTTTATCTTTTTCGGAGTTATATATTATTTCTTATTACAAAAATATATACAACAATTTGTTTAAATTGTTTCTCTTGAAGCTATTTAAATATTTAACTAAAGTTTTCTTCTAAACAAAATCTTATTTATTTATTAAAAATATAATTCATTATTACCGTATTCCAATCATCTTTAAAGTTTCTTTTAAAAATGTGCACAATTCATTTAATTTATATACCCATTCATTTATATTCTTTTCTTACTATGAATAATATAAGCTAAAATATAATATATATATAATGTAAATATATTATTAAATATGACTCCATAGTATGCTTGATAGAATTTCCTCCCTTCCCTACTTGTATATACCATTTTTTTAAATACAGTCTGATTTACTTTCGGTGAAAGTGATGTCTGGTTACTGTGAGTTTTTTTTTTTTTTTTTATTAATTGAAATCTTCTTTGATATTTCATATAATAGCATTTCATAGATATATATGTATATGTATGAGTGTCGATTTTCATGAAAAGCTGAATGTTATACCACATATACTATGTTAATGCAATGAAATACGTGAATTCTTGAATACGTAAAATCGAAATACCCGATGTTTATGCGACACTCACAAAATTCATGCATTCAAAGAGATGCCATAGCTGAAATAAAAATTAATATCAATATAAATTAATAATAATTATTAAAGTCAGATGTGTGTTTAAACAAATAAACTGAATAAATTTGTGCCCTTTACATGGTCACCATCACCCGACTATTTAGAAAATCGCATGTTGGTACAGCAATTTCCTTGATTTTTGACATTTTTGCAGAAGGTTGCCACCTAATTTAACCAAAATTCATTTGGTGTAGCCACACCCACATTCGTGTGTTCCCAAAACCATGAAATGGCTTTTAAGCACACGTTTTATTCAAATTCATAATTTAGATACATGCATTCGCATAAACACAGTAATACAAGAACTAATCGCACACTTTCAGAGTGTACAAGTATAATTTAATTATTAAATCTTACCTTTAAAACCATTGTTCTTGGATGGTCTCCAACTCCTTTTATTTTCGTTTGCCAAACTCCAAATGTGTAATGAGCAATTATCGTAAATCAGAGACATTTGCGTGCTCCGTTTGACGTGGCAAGCTTCACCACCCTTTCAAACTAATTAGCGCTATAAAAAATGCAACGGCTGCTGGAAGTCTAAAAATTGTCAGGACTACGGACCCAGAAAATACGGGAGTGGGCGAGGGCTGCTGTTGCCAGGACGTTAATTGTTAAACGAATGTTCGTTTATCACTTACAAAAACAACACACACGGAACGTGGAGACCCACATTGTCCTTGTTTGTTAGATGAATAAAGGCGGCATTTGCGGATGTTTGCATGGCTCATCGCCCATACAAGCCGTATTGCATATCACACATTCCCACTTGGATCCATATCATCCGGGAATGGCAATGAAAATGGGAATGAGTGTGGGTATGAGTATGGGTATTGCTGTAGGAATGAGCCTCTGCATTGGAATTGTTATGTTTTTCGTATTTAACCTCAGACATGGGCCTCGTTTGTATAAATTCCAGCCAACTGCTGCCACCGATTGTTGTTGCTGCAAATATGCGCTGAAATTATTAACAACCAAAGGACGACACACCGGCGGGAACAACAGTGGCGGCACAACATCACAGTTCCCGGCGTCAACGTCGACTTCGACGCATCGTTCATCGCGCTCACATATGGCGGAAATGACACTTTTACATTTAGCATCGCGAACGGGGGCCCGGAAAGGGATAATGGCTGCGAACCAGGGACAGAGACAGACTTATGTAACATACACACACACATGCATACATGGGCGCAATAAACTTCATTTCTGACAGGCCGCAACACGGCGTATACGTAACGGGGGAAGCGGACACGCAACACAGGGATGCGAAAGAGGACACAGCCTTGTCAACGCAGCGGTGGCCCATGACTGTTTGCGAGGAGGACACAAGGATTGAGGACAGCGGAGTGGCTTTCCGGAACTTCTAATGAATAAGTCCCGGCTTGAAATATGGCCAATCGGAGGCGAGAACAGTTCATTTTGGGTTACGCACCACTGGGGGAGGGTTAGAGAGACTTGATCTAATTGAATGATATTGGGATAGGTTTATCTAAATTATATATTGAAAAAAACCCGAAAAGGTAAAGGTGTGAGTTTGGGAATTTAGCAAAATATTTAGCATTCTATACTAATTGAGAAAGTAGAAATTTGGTCTTGTTGTTCTTAAACTTCGTTGTAATCAAATTCCTCCTTTAATCTCTATTTATAAAGTTACACAAAATGTCATTAAAAGACAGATGTAGTTAGTCACACCTATTAAAACCATGCTTAAATTTATCTGAACACATTTTAATTCCATGTGTTACATCTAAATAATCGGACTTTGCATACATACAATTCCAAAGAGAGAGATTCAAATCCAACACAAAGAGCTCAAAATAAACCTTTTAATCCCAAATCAATATTACTTTAGTAACTTAATAACAAGAAGAAGAAATTACAAGAAATCTCTATTATCCGTTTATAATCTTCGCAGGGCTTATTTTCATTAAAAAAAAAACATTATTAAGGATTATTATACTATACTTCTAGGCTGCCATTATGAATACGGACGATCTTGAGGACACCCACCTGTGCATCAAGTGCAATGCCACGATTATGGGTCTCACCAAATACATTGAGCACCGGAAGCGAAATTGCCTGATGACGGTGAAGCCAGAGGGTACACCGGCCACAGATGGATCAGCAACCAGTTCCACTTCCACTCCAGTGGTGTCCCAGACGATCATCCGTCGCAGCAGTCATCTGGATCACACCTACGATGGCTTTCACTTCGCAGAACCGGAGGCCCCAAGTAGTTACCTTCGGAAGACAGCGGCCAGTCATGGGGGAAAGGCCTCTAAGTCTCTGACTGAAGCCTACGATCTCCCCTACGAGTTGGGAGCTGACCTGTTTTTCTCCTCGCTGCAACTGCAAAGTGTTTCCACTGGTGGCAAGACTGGATCAGTGCCTCGCCAGGATAGAGCCAAAGAGGAGTCCTGGACAGCCCCTAGCGGCGATCCTGTTCTAAAAGCAGTGAGGGGATACCCTGAGGCTGTATTCAACTTTGACCATGACTCCCCAGAAGCGAGTGACGAGGAGGATGATGATGAAGAAGCCGACGACTTTGATCCAGAAGAGGATGAGGAGGATTATAACGTGAGCCGTCACTCCCCGCCCACAGTGCCCGCCACCCACACTGGCGGTAAATGGAAGCCCGAACACCGTCCCCAGCTCCGGCACCCGCATATCGAGAGAATATCACCCAGCTGGGATGAGCCACCCGAGGAGGCGTACACTCATCCTCCGGCGGATCACACGAAGGGCAAGTGGGTGCCGGGCAGCAAGCAGCTTGAGTACAGGGAAAACATAGACCTCACGAAGCTGGAACAGCCGGGAATCAGTTACTGGTGCAACATCTGTTGCCGGCGTCTCAAAAGTCGGTCCAACTACGAGCAACATTTGAGGAGTGGCTACCATCTGAAGAGGGCAGATGCAGAGTGTCAGTTGGAGCAGGCTACCCTCGGAGAAGAACTCAACCTGAGCAAGGACTTTGCTGTGGAGACCAGCGAGAAAAATGAGGAGCTGCAGCTGCATCCTGCCAAGAGACAGCGGAGATCGAGTCTCCTGCGATGCGATCTCTGTCGCCGCAGGATGCCCAGGCATTTGATGGGCAAGCACTTGATATCCCATTATCACTACCGTCGCTTGCAGCAACAGAATCCGCTAAGGAGGCAATTATCCCTGCAGACCATTCTCAACCACATGGGCAGCATTGTGAGGCAATCGCCATTCCAATGCCTTCCGTGCCGATTCTACGCCAATACAGAGAGTGCCTTCCTGCATCATTGGCAGTCTCACGAGCATTTTGAGTTAACCCAGCGTCTGGGTGGATCCTTTTGGTGTGGATACTGCCAGTTTGAGTGCACTACCAATGAGTCCATGTGGCGTCATCTGCTCCACGCATCTCACAAGGAAGTGCTCTTAGTCCTGAATCGATCGGTACCCATATGTATTGCCCAAAGGCGGTCCATCCAGTGTCCGTATTGTGGACTGAGCGTGTTGTACAATTTCCAACTTCGTCACCATTTCGCTTCCGACCATCCCGGCCTGGCTCCTTCTGGAACGGCAGCTGATGAATATCAATGCAGATTTCGATGCGGATTGTGTGGAATACCACAAAAGTCGCGATTGGCACTTCAGCGTCACGAGAAGCACAAACATCACCTGGCAAGGTACTATTGTGCCATTTGTCGCTTGAACTTTGACACACCTTTGCAGGCGCGACGTCATCGGAGTTTGGTGCAACACAAGCAAAGAGCACGAACCAAGGCACCTTCCTCCACATCCCGACCGGATAAGGAAATAGAGCACATGCTCAGGGAAGTGCTGGAAGAACCCATAGCCCATAGTCCGCCTGCCAAAAGGAATAAATTGGCCGAAAAGAAATGCTCAAATTGTACGGAAGTTTTTGATTCTCCACAAAGGTTGGCTCTGCATCGAGCTGGAGTGCATCCAGACGACAACCATGTGTGCCTCAGCTGCGGATCGAGCTTTCAGTCTGCCCAGGCCCTGGGTAGGCACACACGAAGCTGTCAGCCCCTGGCCAGCACCTCAGGTGCCTCCAAGCCACCTGTGACCAATACCTCATCCTCTTACTCCTGCGACAAATGCAGTTTCCAGTCGCAATATGAATCCGATCTTATTTACCATCGCTTCTTTCACATGAGACCGGGAACGATAGGAAGAGACGAGTTGCTGCAGTGTCCGCTCTGTCCCAAGCACTTCAAGAAGCACTCCCTCAGAGCTCATCTCAGAAACCACACAGATGAGAAGATTTTCGAGTGCCCAGAATGTCATCAGAAGTTTGCAAGGAGGCACAACCTCAAGAACCATGTGGCCACCATGCACGGTCAGGGAAAGGATACTCATAAACCGAAGGAAGATTCCATAAAAGTGGCGAAGCCCAAATATCAGTGCGGAACCTGTGCCAAAGTACTGTCCAAAAAGTAAGTATTTTAACCAAACTCCTCTCTTCGATAACCCTTAAAGCTAGTCTTCCTTCCACTGTGTGTGGTTCCACGCACAAAGACCGCTAATTAGAATCTCGGAATCGCCCCGGGCTATCGAAGCGGTATCCTTATGAAAATGTCATGCAAATTAATTGTAGTCCCCGAAAATCGCCCAAATAGTTTGCCATTAATAGAAGTCTCAAATAAACAACAAGAAAGTCGCAAAAAATGGTTGGTTTGGGAATTCCTGCAAATGAAATCCATGGAACCGCGTGGCGAACTCATGCTCGTGGGTTGCATTAATTAAAAATTCCAGGCTGCAGTATGTGAGAATAAGTAACCGAAAGAGTACAACAAAATACAACTCATTAAGTGCGGGGATTCCTGCCTTCTTCCAAAAAAAAAAAACAGTAAAACGCGAGGGGGAATCCCCTCATGTGTGTGGACTGCAGTAGCCACAAAGTATGCAATGCATTCGCAAATTAAGCCTCTGGCTATTCCACCGAAAACTGCAATTTCCATTTACACTCGGGTGTAAATATTTATGAACATATATGAAACAAAGATGAAAGCGGGAAGGAATGTCCAGTCCCAATACCCAACTCATTCCTTTCTTTTTTTTTTGAGGTCCAGAAAGGGGGAATCATTGCATGTGTTACACTCGTTCTCTTACAAATTTATCTCCATTATTTCCGGATTATTTCATAGTACTGCTGTATTAAAGGTTATGGTACAAATGTGGATTACTTTTAGCCCACTCCAATCAAAGCAAATCTCGAAGAAAAGCATTTCCAAAGACGTCCAATTTCCGTTGTTCCTCACAACTACTCATAACTTGCTAAGTTTTTTCCACTCCACGTTCGCCTCTGCCAACTAATTCCTTAAGCAAACATTAAGTTGAATTGCAAACGGAGACTGAGAGTCGTCGCTGGGGTAAAGAATTTTCCACTTTTCAAGTGATTATTTGAAAAATTTATTAAAATGCTCATTTGAAGTTATTGTTGTGCCCGCTTGATGTAGATACTTTGCTTTTACGACTAACGAGACCAAGTGGCCAGCCAGCGAGCTGCAGCGGATTGGGACGAGGCTCGGAGCTGTGGAGTGTCTGAGCTAAGACAAACTTTCTGAGAACGCCTCAGTCCCAGCTCCCGAAAGGAGGCGACGGAGGCTACGAGGACGAGGACGACGACGACATCGTCGTCAGTCATGTCAACAGTGGAGCGCTGCTACACACGCTTCCGGAATTCCAGACTCCAGCTAACTCCCGTTTTACGGTCGCCTTTTTTCAGATCGCAATTTTAGACGGTGGGAGATGTTAGAGATGCGAAAGAGATGTCCTTAAGCTTGATTTTTATAAGCTAGCACTTAGGTATTACTTACATTAGTTGATTATTTCTAAATGTATTTTACATTTAATTCATTTTTATGAAAAGGCAAGCTTTTGTAGGCACTCATTAGGTACAATGGATTTCCAGAATCAATAAGTCAGGAGTTATTTGTTGTTCTTCAAAATAAATCCATTAACCTTTTTTAATCTGTCCACGTGTTTTGTAACTGCAGCGAGCATTTAAAAATGTATTATTTTAAAATATAACAGAAGTATTCCGAGGACTCTGAAATAAGAGCCGTTCTTCTGTGATCCTAAAGTGAATTCTCCGAAATAACGAAAAAGGCAACAAAATTAGTTCCAAAAAATTATTCCGGAAATTTAAAATCTTGTACTAATTGTATTGTATAAAAAATATTAGTCTCGTCGCGGACATTTACAATAATATACTTATTTTTAAAATTTGGAAAATCTTTCCTTTAACTCGGCAATTCTAAGATTAATCTTTCATCGACTGTAAGATATTTGATACGAAGTATAAAAATACTCCTTTTATCATAGTGACTGAAGTTGACTGAGTTGTTCACCAAATTGACCCAGTGAGCATGTTCCTTCCTAATTTTTCATTTCTGTTGACGTGTTCACTTATGTTCTCAGTTTTATTAATTTTCTTCTTTTTTGCTCAGCTGATTAGATGTGAAAGGTGGTAGGTAAAAATTCTCTAGAAGACGCACTTAATAATTATTAAAAGTTTTTTGGTTTGATAATGTAGTATTAATTTAGGTGTCATATAATTTTTAAATAATATTTTTATCATTAATCATTATCATTTTAATCCAGGGCTCAGTAGTCTATATAGTGGGCACCTGAGAAACTAGCAGTGAGCAGAATGAATGAGCTGCCATTTTTGAATAAATGAACAAGTGAACAAGTTCATTCACAGTCAAATTGAGTATATTTTTATTATCATTATAAGACCAGACCAGAGATCTGCGTACAGTTTTTAGGTTTCAAAAATAATTGTAAATATCAGTATTCCTTGTCTTTCGCCGTGTCACGTTCCCATCGTTGACTAGTGTCCATTTCGGATTCTTTAGCCAGGCGCTGCGGAAGAGGGTCCTCCTCCTGCAGGAGGCAGAGCCTGAAGTTTGAGGCGTCCTCTGACGACGACGACGACGTCGCCATCGCAGCGTCGGGCAATTCACTTTTATTGAAATGGCGTGCAATGTTCTGTTGGCTGCCTCTGCGAGTCGGGTTCGGATTTGGATTCGGTTTCATCTCCTTTCGCTCGCCATCCTGCTCTGGCCCCCGGCTTTTCCGATCCGTCTGTCGTCGTTTTCCCGCTGCCCTGTTTTCCCCGTCTGCGCTGATGTTTTTTCCTCCCATTCGTCCGCTCGCTTTTCCCTATTCCTTTGGCTTATTTTATTTTGTATTTTAAGTCATCCTATGGTGCATCATTCGTTTGCCGGCAGTTGATTCTGTTGATGGCACAAAGTGCAGTGCAATTCATTTTAATGGCAGCCGTCGTCCTCCAATGATCTCGGATGGGTGATGGTGAGGGTGAGGGTGAGGCTGCTCTCCCGAGCCCAAGGAGTTCCATCACTTGAGAGTCAATTCCGCAAAACTTGATTTTTCATTTCCTACAACTCCGGTTCGCTTTGCTATATCTGACGATTTAGGGATTCTGCTGCCACATTGCACTCATTCATTTTTATGAATCTGCGAAATTGAGTCGGACAATGTTCGGTTTGTGGTCGCCTGGCATTGGCACAGGCACTCACTGGGACTCACTGACACTGGAACGGGTCGTTCGAGTACTCGTTCTTATGTCTCAGTTCGCAATCACCCATCTCACTGCGGATTCTGGCTTGTTGTTGATGGCCATTGGCAAGGGCTTCGTGCATGCTTTTTTCGTTGTTTGGGCCCCCAGAGTTCAGTCAGTGGATTGGTTACCTGACTCTCACATCTCATGTCAGTTATGTCAGATTGCAAAAAATACACATCGTACTCTAAGAGTGCAGGAGTACAGTGAGGTATTGTAACTAATTAGAAAGAACAATAAACAAATGAAATCATAAATTGTACAAAACATTAATAATAGCTGGCAATACTGTTTACTCTAAATTCCTAGCAGCGATAGTTAATTATAGATATTAGATATAGTACATTAATAAATCAGAGCATTTTAAAGTACATTCAGTACATTCGTGATTTCTTAAGTAGTTTGGGTTTACTTATTATTTTAAATGTAATTTGAAATAAGCAACAGTAATAATACATTAAACATATATTGGTCATAAAATCGCTAACAAACTAGAAACATGAAAACTTTCTATTGAGGTGATATAAAATAACTAAATAAATAAATAGATAAATATTTTGCGATATTAACAAACAGAGTTATATGACTTAATTCAATTTGAAATTATTTTTAATATGCAGGTAATAGTAATTATTTTAGAGGCTAAATCTCTGGAATCTTAGTGCCAAAAACTAAACTAATTAAATTATTTATAAGACCAATTGAATTGAATTTCACTTGCACTTTCATTAACAATTCTTCAGTAGCAATTTATTTTTCAAAATTTAAAGCAAATCCTTTTGATGTGCATTTTTCGCATACTTTCTACGATCAATAAATCAATAAAGATGGTTTTAAGGTCATAAAGTTTATGTAATACTTTAAAGTACTTTAAAAATGTTTGGATGTTAATCTTGGGGTTATTATACATTAAAGGTGATTTGTTTCGATCGAGTCTGAACATTGACTTCGAAGTAAGGAGGAGATTCATTCAAATAAAAACGAAACCCATTTTATAATCAAAAGATTAAATCTCTTTTCGTGAAAAATATAAATTTTAGGCTTGTTAAATTTCTTCTTAGCTTGCATCGCTACCTCTGACCTTGTCACTTGATACAACAATTGAACTACAAAGCATTAAAAGCAATAAAACATCATGAAATTAAGTCGCACTTTAGCAAGATATTTATGAAAAATATATGATTACAACATATATTCAAGAGTTGGTTTTCACAACCCATACCTTGCCATAAGGCTAATTCAAATAGACGGCCGAGATGAACATTAAAAACTTCACGTTAATACCCGGCGAGGCATTAATAACAATGCCAAAGCCAAACAAAGTCAAGAAAGTACACACACGTATCGCTAAAAGGGGTTAAAGGAGGTTGGTGGGCGTGGGCGTGGGCGTGTTCCGCAGACAAGTGCAAGGGTGACATTTAACGGTAATTTCCTGCAACGATTTTTGTTTCGCTCAAGTTTGCCAGATAAGCGCCACGGAGTCGTCCCCACGACGGGCAATGGAAAGGAGAGCATCCGAGGCACTTCCCTAATTACACATGGTGTGTGTATATAAATGCCGCCTGTGCGTAGGACGGTGTTGTGCGGTGCGGCTGCAGCAACTAATTTCACATGCAGCACGGGCCAAGGCATCAAAATCCTACTAATGTCGCGCCAGCGAAGAACAACTCCCAACTTCTGGGGGACAGGACAAGAGGGAGAGGCAAGACAGGACTTACGTACCAATTACATACATGAGAAGGGGCAAAGGCTCAAGCTTTCGGTGGGAGTCCCCCGTCAGTGTTGTCAGTAACAAGAAGTGATTTTTAAATTTAACCCGTTTTTTTATATATTAAAATTATAAATGTTAATATCTAACAAAATTGTTAAACAATTTTTGAACGAGTGAAACCTACCAAATTTATTTTTAAATCATAAAAATCATGCTAAACTGGCAGTATACTTTAATTGATTAAATAGCTTACAATCATCATGAAAATTAATAATTGATCAGCATCACTAACCGAATCGATTTATCCTATCCGTCCGCATAAATCAACATATCTCAGAAACTATAGAAGCTAATGCTAAGAGATTTTGTGACAACATTCATATATGTTGCATTCGATTCTAGATTTATTCAAAATTATTAATATTAAATTAAATCATTTAAACAAAAAGTGACTTTCAATTTAAGGCTAGGCACTGTTATTGAATTATTTAGTCCGATATGAATCTGACATTTGCAGTAAAATCGGATAATAAACAATACTCAATAAAATGTTGGTGTATTTTAAACACATGCAACATTTACAGTTGTGTTAGAAACACCAATGGGTGTTGGTCAACATGTACCTAGAAACATGTGACTTCCGCAGCATGCATGTCCTATCAACATATTGACTGCCTTGTCAACATTTACTCCTGCCTTTCCCTGTGTTTAATTATTATCCTTATGGGATAATAAGATCAAGAAAATTATTCAAGTACATGTTCCTTTAATTTCACCTACAAAGCTTTGTGAAACGGGTATTTCAGAGTCGGTCAAATTTTTATAAAAACGGTTAGGTAAAATTGGAAACAGAAAATTTTCGCAAATACACAAATACTTTTCGAATGCTTGTTCCTTTCTTAACCGAAGTAAGAGTAATCTTTTTGAAAGATGCGCGATCTAAGTCACATTGGCTCCTTGGGCAGCCCAAAGTAAACGCAATAACGCTTTGGGTTCGGATACAGTAGATAGCACGGAACGTTTTAAATAATTTCATATATCCCCAAGATGCTTTCAACAACTAATAGAATGCCCTTGATAATCATGGTTGGAAACGCTTTGTTCGGGAATCACGCCAAGTTGGCAACGCTGGTGTGCGCACACATCCCGGTGACTGACACCGGAAGCAGTCTGCATGGGGCTGACTTGACTAACACCCCACGGCAGAGAAGAAGTTTGCGCCCAAAAGACAAGACAAGACAAGAAAGACGCTGTCATAAATATTTATGCGAGTTTTGGGAACAACAATGCGAGCGCACCAAGGCAAACATTCAGCTGCTCCAAACTACACATGCGATTGTCTAAGACAGCCACAGACAGGAGTCCTTCTTGGGAGCTTAAGCCCCTCCCACAGGCGGCCTCCGCGCATCCTCGTGCAGCTGACAATGAGCAGCAGCAGGATACATTTTGCACCTGCCACACCCGCAACATGTTAGCTCAGCATTTTCTTGGCGAAAACGGGGCAGGGAGCTTCCGCAGAGGGTACGTTCCTCTAATGGATGGCGTGCAAAAGTTGACACAACACCCGACAGGGCCAACAGCATCGTCTCGTGGCCTGCAGCAGCTGCACTCATCCCTGCCCCCCTAGCATCCCTTTTAGAAGGGTGTTGATGACAACTAAGCCCTAGCCCCATTCCCCATTGAAAATTGGCGCTAAAAAGGGCAAAGTTTTCTTCGCAAGGCGTTTCGTTTTCGTCAACAAATCGGAAACGAAGCTGCTGCCAGGAGATCCCAGGATATGTCCTCCTCTACACTTCTTCTATCATTAAAGGCATCCGTGTGAATTCAGTTGGTAGTTTTGGTAGATTTTAAATGTTGATAATATCCATAAGAAAAAGATATATTCCAAAAACGTTTTAGATATGTATAATTGAAACAAATAATTCAGATACGCAAAAACAGAAATAAATCATTTTAAAATGCAATTCAATAATCTCTATACCAAAGAATAATTGTAATACATTCTTTTATGATTCAGAAACATAAGGACAGCTGTGAAAGTTATAACAATTCTGGTCTGTAAATCTTAAATCTGCTATATAACAATTTCTGATCTGCCAAAATACTCTTTTAATTTAGTTTTGCTAAAAATATAACACTGGATCAGCGTTTAGTTATCCAATATCTAGCTTTAACTGATGATCTAGTTTTTAATGAGTTATTCGCGGTTTAAACAATGTAACATATACATACATGAGCATTGTTTCTGTCTGATCATAAGAATCTCTTTCAATATTAATGTCTCGGAATCTCTGGGGTCCTGGCATTACCCTCGTAGCATCCTTGTATTCAATTCAGGATAAGTCTGGTCTGGACACTGGCTTGGGAGACAAACTTATTAGCGAGACAGACGGTTATGGCCAAGTAAAATCAAGAACTTGCCGGAGAAGCGGGGAAGTGTGGAGAATGAATTTACGGAAATAAAATTTAATGTTGGATGTGAAAATACAACTGGGAACTAGGGAGAACGAACCAAGCGCGAGATAATTTTGTTGCCTGGCATTGTGCTCTTGTTGTTGCATCTAATTCGCTTTGCTTTCTTTCAGCGTTATGTTGCTGTTCGCCGCCACCATTATCCTGGGCAACGGGAGCCACAGAAACAAGAACAATTTACGGCAAACTCCTTCAGGTGAAATGGCATCCTTTTGTCAAGACCTGCAATACCTTCAAGGAGTTGCTTGCCAGCCATCCGGCTCAGTGTTCCTGTCTTCCCCTTGCTTCCTTCCCCAGCTCGTCACCCGGGTTGGTCGTCGTCGTCGTCGTCGTTGTCATTGTCGTTCCTATTCAAGCTCTATACAAAGTGACGTTTCACATATCAACGACGCCCGTGTCCTTTTCTGCTTCTTCATCTTCCGACTTGGCGATGGCATCATTAGAAATGCATGACACTGTCGCCTCTCCACCGTTACCATCCACACCACCACCTCCTTCTCCTCCAACTGGCCACGCCCACTTTGCTTAACGCACCCCACAGCCCCAAAATCGGTTGTTCGGTGTTTGTCTCGTAACAGGAATTTAGATTCAAGATTGAAACTTTGCTAATGTCGCGCATTATTAAGAAGAATCCTTTGCTGCCTTGAATACGATAGAAGCTGGGGAAATTACTAAAGCTCTGGGATAAGCAGGAGTTCCTGGAGTACAGATTAGTTTTGAATATTTGTGAAAACAGCGAGACATTTTGGTAGGATATAATCGGGTAACTAGAGAGTAAAAACAATAATATTAAACTTGCATTTCCTTGAAAAACGTAATTTTTTAGCTCCTTATATTGAATAAATATTTAAAATTGTTCTAAAGTGTTTAGTAATGGTTGAAAGATAATTTACACTTCCAGAAAAACATATGGTACCATATTTTGAAAGAATAGATAAACCAATAAGACGGTACCCGAAAAAGGATAAAGCGCAAAAATAATATTAATATTTATTAAGCTGTAAGCTTTGTAATAAAATAAGCTATTTTTAGTTTCTATCATCTTTAGGATCTATAAATGTACCATAATTAAGAACATATGGTACAATCTATAACCTCCAAGCTAAACTAAATCATAATGGGTTGCTACATCTTCAGAATACTAGGTTGAAACCCTAAAGGGATCTTCCTGATCTATATCATTCAAATCTTCAAATCACATTTTATTTAAAGTTATGCTGGAAGCTTGCAAGTTGATGACATTGAATTTAAGACTAATTCAGAGAAATATACGACCTATTTAACTAATTCAAATCATCAAATTCAACCTTAACTAGTCTTCACAAAAATGTACACTCACAAAATTGACTCACCTCGAAAAAATCCAATTCAAAGCATCCCTTTAGAATATTATCTATTTACAACAGTATAAGTTCTTTAGATGATAATATTAAAGTCAGATTAGTAATGTTTTGGCCTGTCCTATTTAAATGCCAACTTCCCTTGCCCACTGTACAAAATATCCAACACCAAAGAGAACTCTCTCTCTATCTCAGCTGTTTCGATTAATTAGCATCCGTAATTGATGTACCGAAAAGTTTTGCCTAGGGGAGTTTGCATTTGCATTTTGCGGGTCTTTTTGACTGAAAAGCTGCTGCTGGACAATTCGTGGACATGGCTCGCAACCGGTCAGGTTGGATCTTTAGTTTGGATTTGGATTTGGATTTGGATGTGGATGTGGATGTGGACGTGCCTTGTGTCATTGAAACGTGACTTTGCTGCGAATTTCGTTTGCATTGATTTAATGTAATTAAAAATTTTAGGAGTTCAACAGAAAAAAAACGAAGTTTTGTGATGGGGAGGTGGTGCCTTAATAAAGTGACCGACAGACACATACATTCTTTAATTTTAATTTAACATTTCGAACTTTTTCAGGCATTCCCTTAAGTTGCACGAGTTGAGTCACTCCGAGGGAGCAGAGCGAAGCTTTCGATGCCATTTCCCAGGCTGTTCGTATGCAGGCTTATACCAGGAAAACCTCAAAACCCACCTCATCTCCCACTCTCAGGGTAGGCACAAGTGTGACCGGGAAAACTGCAGCTATGTCGGGAAAAGTGAACTACATTTGAAGAGGTAAGTGATAATTTAATTATATAAAAAATAAATTATTAGTAAAAGCAAGAGAAAGGAAAACATATATATATAAATATATAATATAAGGAAAAAAAGAAGCAAGACAGTAAGAAGTCAATATTATTTACACCAAGGGTAATTATTGCTAAGTATATATGCATTAATTCTACAATTCTACGGATAGTTATTCTGGCAAGTGTATATAAACACCATTACTTATGCTAAAATATAAATTTTAAAGAAATTCAAAAGTATTTTAAAACAATCGTATACTGATTAGGACTGTACCAAATATTGATCGATCAAATTTGCAATCCTATTATGTAGGGAAAATGTCTATTATATAGGGAAAGTATCTTCCGTCCATATTATTTGCAAGAGTGTTGCATGTAGTTCTCTACCTTTCAATCTCCAAAATCTCGTTATATGCACTGGCTGACCAGATTAACAAGTATCTCAAAAAAAAGGTTTAATGCTGTACCTAATACAAAAATTGAGAACTATAAATAAAACCAAACAGACATTTTCTACACGAATTTACATTTCTTGTTTAAAAAAGATGTACAAATAAGAGGAAATGTAAACTAAATTTATTTGCCTCGACTATGAGATAATCGGTACATGAAATAATCAACATTGTTTTGCATTTTCTTTACATATCTCATCTATTTCAGAGAATGTCAGATCTTAACTAACTAAGCTTAAGTGAGCTAAATGTGATTTAAAAAATATTAGATATCAAATTCCTGATTAGCCCTGAATTTACCCCTCTACATGTTCTGTACTTATGTTGCTCGGAAACTGTGTTCGCTTTAGTTTAAGTTCGTTGGCTGTAATGTAGGTATTTATGCAAACGAACATGTCTAGCTCGGCTGTTTGAATACACTTCCCACCGAGTCTCCAAGTACTTGGTAAAAAGGTATAAAGAAAAGAACAATAAGAACACAACGTCATCCATAATTGCGAACTTTGAAGGGCAATTGCATAAATTGATGGAAGCAACAACAAGAAGCCACAGAACCGATTCGAGAGGAGCTTTGGCCAAGGAGCATAAGTTGGAGGAGGACAGTCGAAAGAGTCGCCGCTCGATCCCAAACCGAAAATCGTGACTTATCGATCGCCTTTGATATGCGGATTGAATTCTTGTAATATTTCCCTGGCCCTCCTCCGCTTAACTCCGCCTCCTCGCTCCGTCTCCGGGAATCCCGACCGTCAGTTCAGGGCCAAATTGCCGGCAATATGTATGGCAGTGCCACTGTTGGCCAGCCACTGTTCCCGCCCGCCACGAGGGATCGCGGCGAGGAGGAAAAATGGTAATAAACGGAAAACAAGCTGCAGTCTGCTGCAGTCTGTTGCAGTGGTAAGTGGTAGCATTGGACGTGGTCGAAGGGTTCGGTGCTGATTTGAATGCTGACGCAGTGGGATGGATAATGGTTAGAACGCCTTAACCTTTGGCTCCCAATTTTTCCTATTTGGGTGAAGTAATGGATATTGGATCAGTTTGTGGGCATATTTATAGAAAACGAGTATGTATGGGGAAGATGAGATACTCTGTGTTTAATATCAATAACTTTTTAATGTATAAAGAGAAAACAAAATAGTTGGAAAGTTAGAATTAGTTTAATTATACTGTTACTATTGTAACTATTAAAGCTTAAGGGAAATAATATTCTGGTAACATTACCATAAAGTTTTACTGTTACTGCAAAGGAGGACGCTAGTACAGAACCTTGAAAAATGACTTTTACTCCCATGAATCCCCAATCATTAAGTATATTTCCAGTATTCACAGTATTCCATTTAACGAACTTACTCACTCACAGAAAGAAAAAAAAACAAAACAAAAGGTTCGCCTCATTAAAAATGCGAAAAACTTGACCTAAGTTGAGAATCGGGGATTGCATAAATCTTGGCCAGAATTCCGGACTCTGCGACAGAACTCCGTGATGCGCTTAACTCACATCCGAGATCTTCAATTAGCTATCAAAAGGCAGCGCTGGTGATCCAGGAATTTCAAAGCGCAGCCAAAAAGGCGTTCGCCCAGCACATCCCCGGCTTCGATTTGCGAATCTGTATCCGCGAGTTTTTGTCGGCATTCGACTCACAGAGATGTAGGCAGAGGGCCTCCTACAACTCGGGGCTGCCCCGGAACGATCTTGAAGCTCCATTACTTGCCGCTAATTAAGCCTACCGAGGCGCGCATGAGACGCGTCCGTCTGCAGCGTCCAACTCCTCTGCGTCTTCAGTTTTCAGTTTATTCAGTTTGAGCTTGAGATTTCACACAGATTCCGATTCCGGCGGCCCGAGAGTCCACTAAAAAACATTGGCAATTAATTGTGAGTCTTCGGTTTGGACAGTAGCTGATAAGTGGAGTGGACAACACACACACACACACGAGCACTCGCAAGAGGACTCCTTCAGTATGGCTTTGGGGAACAACTCAAGGAGCACCGGGGCGTAATTGAAGGCGCGTAGCTAAGATAGTGTGGGTAAGCTCTCCTTCCTTGGAAGAGCATATCGGTTTTCATGATTAATACACAAATTAATGAAAAATTTGAAATAAGAAAATTGTAATTAGTTAAAAGTACTATTGATTGATTAAATTAAATCAATAAAGTCAGCGAAGTACAAAGAAGATTCCTTTATTTTAAAAAGGAAAATAATTTGTAAAAATACCTTATGGTCAGGAGTATAATTAAATCTTAAGGTTCCCTCTCCTACATATTTTTTTATTTCTTAACGCATTCACTGATATAAAAGAAAATAAAATAAATAAATTAGAAAGCTACCTTACGAGAGTACTAAGGTAAAAATGAAGAAAATAACAGTATAGTTTTACCGATAAGATAAGATACCTGTTGCCTAAAGCATTTCAGGTGAAATTGAAATGAAAATGAAAATGGCAAATTTACTTTACCTAATTATGCTAAAATTTAAGAAAAACTCAAATAAAACAGATCGGAAGTCTGAAGACAATGTTGACAAATGTAAACAACAGATAGGTACATGTTGATCAATAACCATTTGTATTTTCATACGTAACGGTAATGACCTAAAAGTGGAAGTACAAAATATTAATATGAGTAACGTTATATAACAAGAAATCAAACAGATGTTTGAACACATTTATTTTTATCATAGGCCTTCGAAAAGTAGCTCACTGCGGAGTCGTATAGGCCAGACCACCAATTGTGGTTTCGCGCTCTTTGCCCAAAAGCTGATCGCCATCTAAGCCAAGTCTGGATTGGTTGGGTTTGCTGCTCATTCTGCGGTTCCTGCTCCTACCACCGCTCCTCCCACTGGCCGAAATGCAATTGCCAATTGCCAACTTACTCGTATTTTGATTTCGAGCGTGCGATTCGAATACGAAATTAGCAATTAGTTCTGACTTCGGTGGTGGGACAAGCCGCCACTGGAATTTACCGCCTAATCAAGCGTTGAGATTTTAAATATGGCTTCGCTCAAGCTCCCTCTCTTATTTCCTCCGCAGGCACCTCAAGTCAGCCCATTCCCGGGAGGGGGACGACGCCCGGGAGTGGTTCTCATGCGATCAGTGCGAGTTCAGGACCCGCACCAAGGGCCACCTCCGCCGGCACTCGCTTCGCCACTCGGGACAGAAGCCCCACCAGTGCCCCCACTGCGACTTCCAGTGCAGCACCATCGATAATCTGCGCAAGCACATCGTCAAGACGGGCAAACATCCCGGCAAATTCATCTACGAATGCCACAAGTGCTCGGATCAGGCGCCAAATGAGATCTTCAAGAGCAACACATTCAAGGAATACCAGAAACATTTGGCCACTCACAAAATGGATTGAGGATACTATACAAGAAGACGGTTCTAAAGTTTAAAGTCGAATTTATATACATATTTTACAAATATTAAATAAAAACTGATCATAAAACAACGTTTTTGTAAAGAAATCATTAAAAAAATTGTTTCATTTCGAACCTCGTAATGTTTAATTAAAATGGGTGTGTTTGAATTTCGATAGTTCTTGAATATATAAAGAAACAATAACTCCGATTAAATACCAATTGCCACAAAGTTTGTAAATCTTTGCGAGCGAATGAAATACTGCAATATATGAAACGAATCAAGTTGGCGATTTTTCTTGCAGTAAGTATTGGGCTTAAGGTACACTAGTTTAAGTAGAGCTACAATTCTCCAAATAAACTTTTTGTTCTGAACTTATTTGATATTAAAAAATCCAATATCTTAAGAATATTGTTTCAGTTTTACTTCGATCATTGAAAACAAGAAAGGAAGCTTACTTCGGGACGCCGAAGTTGATATACCCTTGCATATAAAACTTCGATCACTAGGAATTAATACAATATAAATTAAGATATATATATATATAGTAATGTCTGCTTTAATTTCATTCATTTATATTATATATTTACAGTTTTACATTCACTGTTTTGCATTTTCCTCTATATTGAACGATCGTTTGTATGGCACCAATATGAATTTCATAAAATTAACACCGAAATTCTAGAATAATATAAAAGTCTATCGAAAATTAATAAAGCTATAATTTTTAATTGTACAAATTTCTCTATTATTCGTATGACAGCTATATAGTATAGTCGTCCGATTTTTATAAAATGTTAAACAAAATTGTGGAGAATTATAAAAAGACAATATCTCAAATTTGATAAAACTGAATAAGTTATAATTTTTTTTTAATTTATAGCTTATAGTCGTCTGATCCAACCCGTTCCGACATATATAAGAGTGAGAGAAGCCTAACTACAAAATTTCATTCAGATAACTTTAAAACTGACAGACTAGTTAGCGTAGAAACGAACAGGCAGACAGACGGACATGGCTAAATCGACTAGGCTGTTGATGCTGATCAAGAATATACATATATACTTTATATGGTCGGAGGTGCCTCCTTCCCTGCGTTCCAAACCTTGTATACACTTGTAGATTGCAATTCGATCAACAATTGATATTATACAACAATACAAAAGAAGTCTCGTTGTATTATATTATTTTTGAGTCTGTCTGCAATTTGCAATTTCGTTGAGATCAAAATAAATAAAACGTATTTTTTGGTTTAACATGCCTTGTTTACAAACATAAGTTCAACTAAAACGTGAGGCAATCCGATATGATATGTTTAGCCTTGCCCAGGTACTGGCAGAATACATCCTTAAGGGGCTCACTCGCCTAGAAAAGGCATTTTCGTTAAGTATAATAAAGTTTACATGATTTATCTATCAAAAATTTTAAATGTTTACTATTCTTCGGTTCATTTAGAGTTATTTGTGCTATCTCAACAAGATTCCAGTGTCTACTCTGGAGAATTTTTGTTAGTTTTATTAAACCTCAAAAAAACCTTGGACCCTTTTGTCATTTTCCATTAATAGTAAGCTCATGCTACAGAGCTTTTACGGCTTCCGTCGGCCTTTGATAGTTGCATAATCGATCTAGGAGACGGAGCATAAAGCTTTAAGGCTGAGAGTACATAAACGTATACATAAATCCTGGAAACCTCAACTTCAGTCTGATACTCAACACTTTGAAGTACAATTGCATTCAACATCGGCAAATCAGAATTTTGTAAGCTGTTTTGTAGTTAAGATAAATTTTCGGTTCGTGATTCCTAAAATTTTTAGTTTCTCTACCAGTTGTGACCACTTTGCCACATAAGGTATATAAAGCATTATTGTTTTCTAATGCTACACCACCAGTTGAATATCTGAAAACATCTTAATACAGTTTAATATTCAATTTATGAAAACATTTTGCTAAACTAACTTTAATAATGAGACAAACCCATCAATATTCAACATAAAACATCGATGTATAAATTAAAAAAAGTATAAGTTATAAATACAATACATCGATGTATATGCATGTTATTGTTTATTTTGGTATTTGATTTGAGTCTATATATAATAGTTTTAGTTTCGCAAAAATATGTTATAAAAGGTAGGTAAAACCATCAAGCATATCGACATCAGAATTTCTTAATTCAAATTTAAATTAATTTTCTAACTATTCAAAAAAATATATTTTCTTCGAGCCAACAGCTTATTTCGTGCAATCAATTAGAATTTTATATTTCTAGTTTTGGGATTTTATTGGTTTTTTTTATAGACTGATCAAACTAAAATAAGAAGATTCGGGTAATAAATGAAATGAAGTCGGGGATATTTATTAAAATACGATAAATAGTTCTAAACCAAATTAAGATAAAAAAATTAGCGTGATTTTACGAAAATTGTATACTTAAATCTCAGTTATCTAAAAACACATCATCCATTGTAAGCATATTGCCAAAATATTTTGTTTTCCTCTTCAGCCGTCATCTTTCTAGAAATAATTTTCAGAATAAATTAAGGCCACTGCTACCAGGGTGTATTTAAAAGATTTGTATTTGTTGGTTGTAACAAATATATTCTTGTACACAATCCAAAAATAAAAAACTTATATTTTTCACATTTCATATTCTCAAATTTTAATGTGTGAAATAAATGTCGTAAGCGTGAGCTTATTTGTAATTGTATTTAAGTTAATGTGGTTCCAATTTAGCTGTTGCAAGCGAGCCGATGGTTGCTTAGCTTAAGGATTATAAGAAAGCCTTTAAAGTTGTAACAGAAATTATAGCTAAGGGTGGAAATGAAGTTTTCGGATTAGAATAGGTAAAATACAAATGGAACTCGTTTAATGATACGCCCGCCGCCACCAAATCTCCAGTTCGATCAGATGCTGCTTCCTGCTCAAAAAAAACTGAACCTTTTATAAGGCGTCGGAGATCGAGGTTCCGAATCCGAAGGTCTGCTTGATGCTGTGCCAGTAATACCGGTACCAGTTTGTTTTCATCGCATCGTATTCGGAAGCGGGTATGCCGGTCTGCTTAAGCGTCATCATCGTGCTGGACGACTGCAAGAATGGAAACGGTTTAAAATTGTGTAAGCATTAAAGGGTTTGAGAAATGGAGTAACATTACGAACAATTTTTATTTTTACTCAATTGGATTTTAAAACCTTTAGTGGTAACGATATCAAAAAATTTCTTATTACAGTTAATTTTGTTTTAACATTTTAACTAATTTTTGAATGTGTATAAAGTGTATTAAAAATAATTTGAGTTTTGTGACAAAACAAAAATATTTAAAAATAAATTTTTCTTTAATTTGTTTTCTTTAATTTATTTGGTAATATTTTATACTATTAACCGTACACCGAGGCACGTGTAATTATATCCAAGATCGCATTTTGCAGACAAATATTGTGTTTCTTGTTCATATATTGCAATCTTTCAAATTCTATATTTGATTTTGGTATGATTTCACAATAGTGGAATTTATATCCCTAGGGAAAATTCCACTTAGCTTTTAGCATTTGAAGAGCGACTTATCCTTGCTTTTGTATTATTCTCTATCAACTTACAGTTTCCTCCAACTCAATGGTAACATTCGAGTAATGACCAGATGACCAGTTTTTCAGACGCCAGCTCTGCTGTATTTTCTTTTCAGGCACAAGCTCTTCGAACTTCCCAAGCACATTGCCGCCATACAAAACAAACCTAAAGTGGAGGGAAAATTTAATTATTAAGAATTGAGAAGTTAAGTTTTTACAGTTTATTTCATTTGTATACCCTTGCAGTGCAATAAAATTTAAGTCAAAAGCTTGCAACGCATTAGGGAGTCATGTCCGACCTAATGAAGTACATATATATGTACATACATATATGCATGATCGGCATCAACATGCCATTTCAACCTTTGGCGTTTTCTAATTTCTATGTAAACTAATCTTTCAGTTTTCGAAGTTTTAAGATACATTCTAATCGGACTAAATTGTCACATAGAAAAAAAAAATAGAAAAAAAACTTGTTTTTTCATCTATTCTGCGATATGTACGTTTTTATAATTTGGCAATTATATAATAAAAAAAACAATACTACAATAAACAGACAAATAGTTAGAAAATTGGAATAAAATCGTTATTTTTAAACATAATAATTAATTTTAGGAATTATTAATTGTGTCTTTAATTTAATATAACCAAGTGATAAAGGAGGGATCGGTAACTATAGAAAATATATATGTAAATATTCCTAAATTTAGTGTTTTTCATGTTATTGAAATCAAACAACTGTGTTCTATAGCTGTCATAGTAACGTTAAATTGCAAACTGCAAGGAAATAAGGAAAATATAAGATACTTACTCGCCACCGCGCACAGCATCCACTTTGGCGGGGGCCCTCGTAAAGGCAGTGACCATATCAGACTTGGTCAGGGCATTGTACAGGTCATTTGCGTTGCAGTGAAACTCTTCCGTCATCGAGAGGGTTCGCACGTCCAGCTTGCAGCCAACGCTAGAACTGTTCCCCTTGGGAGCAGACACCGAGGTGTTCGACGAGGTCTTCTGAGCAGCATTTCTGGCATTGTTGACCTCCGTGACGTTGGCATTAGTCGCACCCACTGGGCCCGTGGCGTCGTCGCCCTTCTTTGGTAGAATGAGGTTCTTGGAATACTCCTCCTTTAGTTCCCGGATGTAGGCTCCCAGCTGCTGGCGGACGCGATCCCGGCCTACGTTGTACATAAACTGCTTGAGGGTCTCCGATTCGTCGTTGGACTCATCAATGGTCACAGTGATCTCGACGTCCGAGAGGTCGTTCTCCTCGGACAGATTAGGAATGGTGAGCTTGCCCTTGTGGCTTAACTTGCTGTTCTTCAGCAGTTTGCCGGACCACTTTAGGACCAATTCCCACTCGTAGAAGAAAATGAGCTTCCCCTTGCGATTGTTGACAGTGGCCTCGCCGGTGCACTTGTCCACGGTGTCCACCACACACTCGATGTCGCTAT